CAACTTTAGGATCAAGTGTTGTAAAACTACAAAGCAATATTAAGAAACATATAAAGAGAGACATTGTGGGTTCAGGAGGTAATTATTTGAAACAAAAAAGACTATATATATATATATATAATTTTTAAAAATTATTTTTTGCACTAGTTAAAATACTTGATCGTAAAGGTTATCAAAGTTTTGCACCAACTTATGATTCAAGTGACTCAGTCTTTTCATTTGAAAATACAATGTTGGCGGAATCTTTTAGGAATCATGGCCAAAATATTGATAATGATAATGATGATGTTGATGATGTTGATGATGTTGATGTTTATGATAAAATGGATGAAGATATAGTTATGAATGAATATCATAATGAAATTCAAAAAGATGAAAATGGTGATGATGAAAATAACGATGATGATGGTGATGATCATGATGATGAAAAACCCAAGAAAGCATTAGAATCAAAATCAGATGATCAAGTCATTACGCTCTCAAATAATAATAATAGTATTAATATTGATGAAAAGACAGTTGCTGAAGATCACGAAGAAGATTTTGAAGAAGACTTTGATAAATTATTGGACGAAAATTCAAAGTTACATGCTCATTTGATAAGCTTACAAAAAGAAAGATTTCTAAAGAATCCTAGTGAAATATCTGATATTGAAATTGAAATTGGTAATATATTAAATTTGATTTTTATTTATTAAGTAGTTTATATAAATATACAAATTTATTTATTTATTTATCTTTTTTTTGATAAAGAGCAAAAATTACGTAATAACTTGGTTAAGTTATTTGGCGATGTATCACCGAATGATCTGTTAACACCTTTCAGTATTGAAAAAACCATGGATTCGTTGACGACATGTGAGCCATTGGTTAAAGGAAAATTTCCACCAAATTCATATCCTGTTAAAGTGTTGCCATCACAAGTTTCCAAAGAAATAGTATCAACGACTCAATCATACAATAATAATTGGAAACAGCAACAAATTTCTTTTCAACGATACCATCACAATCTTCGATCTGCTAGTAGAAAAATGACCAGCACAACTGCTGCTTCTAATATTGGATATTATCAACAACAACAGCAGCAATATCAACAACAACAATACTCATCTAATTATAACACATATTCAAATAATAACAATTATTATTATCCTGGTTTGTAATCACATCATATCAGAATTACTAACTGACTGTTTGTTTCTTAAACATTTTCCTTAATTTGTAAATATTCTCCTATATTTAGAAAAATATCATTAGAATACATTATTTCTTTTCTAATATTTAATTAATAATAATAATAATGAAAATAATAAATAAATTCTTTTTTTTTAAAAAAAAAAAACTGGTTAAAGATCTTCACTGTAAAATTTTTCTTTCCGCATACCATCCTCCTTTTTATCCAGAAAACTATTTCCCCTTCTGTCACTCTGAATTCTTTTATTACTAATTCAATAATACAATGTCCCAAACAATTCCATGGTTGTAACTGATCCTAACCCAAAGCCTGCTGATCTGTTAAACAAGCAAGCGCACCAAAAGCACAAGGTGCTCCGGTATCTAATCCAACTTTCATTATTCCATGACTAATACTCCAGTACAAACGACTGTATCATATCTTACAACATAACTGTTCCCAGAAATAATATTTTTTTGCAGCAATAGGTAATTCATATGATCCAGAAACAGATTCAGTTGTGATATTTTATCTATGCATTATATTGTGAAGTCATGTTCTTAATTATTCCATAACTAATAATGCAATATAATAACAATAATATGTAAATTCATTAGGTGCTATAATAATGATAATGATAACGGATAATTAGATTAATGATTTGCTCGTTTGTGTATTATATTAATATTATTGCATTTTTTTCTATGCGTTACAATTTCCGAGAAAAGGAGTAATAATAACACCAAAAAAGAATGTTAAAATTCAATTCCTTCGTCTGGATCTGGGTAATAATGCAGTTATGATTCTACCAATCTCTCACTAAATTTGGTTAATGTGACATATATTGTTATACGATAATTTGATCTTGGTACATGAACAGGAATTGGTGTACCATTGTTATACAAAGCATTAGGAGTAAATTTTGGATCATTATATATAAGATGGTGAATCTGATCTAATTGTTGATTGTGTTAAAGGTGCAACTGGCATCGTATTAATATTATTATTATTAGGGTAATTTTGTAAAATTGTTCTATTTAAGTTTGTTACTGATGATTGTTATTACTATTGTTGGCTGTTGTTCTTGTAAATCTAGATCTATTCAACATAACTGAACTGTCTGATTCAATGGTAGAACTTGAGAAAGGTGATTTTAGAGGCAGAGATGACGGTGATGATGATGTACCAATATTTGTAGTAAATCTATCAGTAGATGAAGGTGTTGTTGATTAAAATACGGAGGATGATAAAAATCTGGAAGGAGGTTGGAATACAGAAGCTGATTGGGATATGGGAGATGTTGAAGATAAATAAAATGATAGTGGTGTTGTTGTTGTTGCTGCAAAGATGGGAGATGTTTGTGACCAAGAAAGTGACGACGATGTAATAGTCGATGGTAATATGGTAGATGAAGTAGAATTAAAATTTAGGCGGAAAAAATTATTTAGAAATAAGTTATTTATAATGTATATAAATCTTGAAGGTTTTTTTCTTCTTGTTTATTTGTATAATGACTTTATAATGTAAAAATTTATTCATATTATTAAAAATATTATATATCATCACTTATATTATTTATACTTACCAAAATGTAAAAATAATCGTAGCAAAAGATTTACGGTCTCTCTACTCTATCAATAATGACCACTTTTCAAAAAACAAAACAAAATATTAGTTCATACATATAGACAAACGTATAAATAATAATAACGGGAATATTAAAAAATACATGTATTGTTTATCACCTATTAAAAATGGTTGAACTAATCATTAGAATTACTAAAAAGTACTACTTGAAGTGATGATTTGTATTGAAGCATAATGGCATTTATTTTCAGGAACCCTCTTTCTGCTATAAGTTTACGTTCCAAAGGAGATAAATAATACGTTTTAGAGGGTGAGCCAAGAGAAGATTGTGATTGTGGTCTTGATATTGGAACATGAGGTGAGTCTGCAACTCGATTTCTTAATGTCGATTCTGGTGTGCTTCCTATTATCAGTGAACCATTTGCCCTACCATTCCAAAGATTATATTGATTTGATAAATGTTGATTATTTATTTTTAAAATAGAAATCCAAAGATTTATTATCGTTTAGCCGATCAATTTTGAAAAAAGCAAAATTTTTTTATTATATATGATTGATTTTAGGGTAGAATGTACAAATTGCATAATTTAAATCCAACATCCTTTCCCTCCTCTTCCTGTTAAATAAAGCATTTATCTGTTATTGTATATTTTCCTTCCAAGATATTTTCAAGATTAGCGGATAATGTGTATCAGGATCATATCCGTTTTCATTCATCAAATTCTGTTGATGTATTTTCCATACAGTTTCATCATATCTTTCTAATAATTCAACACAAAAATTATTGATGGTGTTTAACTGTGCGATGAATGTGTTTAGACTATTTCCACGGTGTGGACCACAAAATACTATCAGATTTTCATTTGATGATGATGATGATGATGATGATGATGATGATGATGATGATGATGACGATGATGATGATGATGATGATGATGATGATATGTGAAGAATAGATTGCAGAACATGGATAAGATGTGGATGTGTTTGTTTATCATAAGTGCTAAGTTATTTATTTATGATGATGTTGAAAAAAGTTAGTCGTGAAATTCTGTTTAAATTTTGTAAATAAAAATAAAAGATTTACCAATCAGCACATATAATTATATCATATTTTTTCTTGTAAGATGTATCTTTATTCCAAAATATTTGTTCGACGTTCACGTTTGTATCAGCAAAAAGATGTTTATTTGCCTTTACAATTTTTTCAATATGTATATCATAAATATATAATTAGTTAAATCTAATACAGAGCAGTATAATAAAAGTCGTGAAAAATGAAATTAAAAAGGATATTTTTTATACAGTCTGGATTTCCTTCGGTTAATGTGACACTTTTAGGTTTACATTTTGCTGCGATTGTTAAACCTGCCAAAGCACTCATACCACTACCTAATTCACATATTGATTTATTACTTTATATAATTATTGTTGAGATTTTATTAGTTAGTTTAAGGTAAAGCTCTGCGCAAGCCAGCTCGAGAGGAGCTTTAATTTAAAGAAATTTTCATCATAAAGATTTTTTTGATTAATCCAATCAATGAATTCATTTACCTAAATAATTGAGGATTTTTTATGCAATAATAAGCCAAAATCTCTTCAGCAGGCCATATACATATATTACCAGTATTCAAAAATCCCGAATATCTTGAAGTAAAAGTTGATTTTATGTCTATTTTCTTGGGAACTTTAATTCTATTTATTTTGAATTTTTAATTTTAAAAAATATATATGATATACATTTTTTTTAAAAAAGCAAAAATAAAAATAAATGCTTACAACACATTTAAAACAATATTATCAAATAAATCATAAGCAAACCATTCTTCATTTCCTTCTTCAAAAAAAAAAGTTTTGTCATGATTAATTGATAATTTTTGTTTAGTAAATAAATTGAATTCTTGATGATTTCTTTTAGATACTTTTCCAAGAATTTCATCACTAGATGAATTTGAAGAAAGTATAAATGATTGTAATAATTTCCATCTTTCTTTTGCTTTATCTTGTTCTATCGACGATGACATTTTTACTTGCCGCTATTCTGTAACACATCTTACGTCACAAGAGATCATAAAAAAAAATTTTTGGCTGTCAACCAAAACAGCATGATAAAACATAACCATGTTTTAGAGACTTTTTATAAGATATATATACCTTTAAGTAAATGATAAAAAGTTTTTCCTTTAAACGTGAATAATAATAATAATCCTTTTTGAGGTTAATGAACGCATACATTGATATTGATTAACCAATATTTTAAAAAATTTAGCTTACTAATTACATATTTATTTATTTTTTTCCAGATGAATTCAAGCTTGGTGGAATAAATATTTATGAAAAGTGGTGGGTTGTAAATGCTCTCTGGACTTGTTCCACCTGAAGCTCATAAGCTTTGCATAATTTTTTGGGCTTGATGACTTTGATGACTTTGTCAAATGCTGAGAATATGGTGAATCCAATTTATTCAACCTTTAAAAAATTATTCACTTTAAAGGTTGATTTTTCTGGTGCGATTGAATTTATCCAAGGCTCACACGCATACATTGAATTTCTTAAAGATAAGGGTTTGGTTTATCCAATCACTTTCTATATGTTTTGAACTCGGAATCAACACCAATAAGTAACTTCATTTCAAACAGAACTACATTGATACCTTCATGAACATTGACCCTATCAATAATTTAATAATCAATAGTATTAATGAGCATCACACAACATTCATTTGATAAAAAGTCAGATATATATATAATAAATAATACTGATAATATATTATGTAAAATGGGATTGATTGAAGATTTATTAGGAGCTCCACGAATTTTCTTGGTAAACAAATATAATTATTAAATTAAATTAAATTATGATGAGATTTTTTTAAATTTTGTGCAGTTAATAATGGCAGTATTTTTCATGATACACATCCATCTATCCATCCATTACTTTTTTAATTGTATTAGAATTACCTTTTTTCAAAGAATTTCTAAAACCAGGAAACATTACAAGTCAATAATTAGTTTCTTGATTATTACATTTAATCATTTTTAAATAAATTAGATAATGCATACATAGTATTTTAAAAAGTGACACTTGGCATTAAAAAATTGACAATGATGTGTATCGTTTTGTTTATTATTATTATATTAATTCAGCCAAAAAAATTTTTCTTTGACAAAGAAATTTCTGGTGCAGTAATAATGAAGATATGTTCCCGATGCCAAAAAGGACTTTTCCCATACATTAACGATTCTGGAAGATCATAAACGACAATATTGTTAGTTTGTAATATACCATTTAATTGTTTATAAATTAAATAATACTTGTAAATAAAATTTCGATAGTATACAAATTTAAGTGTAACTGAATGAAATCGAAACCAAGTAGTCTACGATGTTTGGATTCTGTACACTGAGACAATAGATACCAGATGGTGCACTAGGCCAAGAAACGTCAACTGTGCCACATACTAATAAATGAGATTCGTCTTGAACGTTTCCACATTGAAAGTATTTGACCCCATTACTTTGGAAAGACACAATAAGTCCAATAAAGTCTTTAGTTGCTGTCATATTTCCGGGTGTAATTTCACCAAAGCTAGTTGTGGGAACATCTGTTGGCTTTGGGTCAAATGCCACATGGAATGCTACGGAAGAAAAAAATACGAGTAATTAAATATAAAAAGAAGAAAAGTGAATGAATGAATTGTTCGCTTACAAACAGATGTAGCAGCAATAGAAGAGCACAGATTCCAACTACTAAAATCTTTTGGTATCGATACTACGCCAGTATTAGTTATTCTACGGACTAGTCCGCCATATGTCGTCTACGCAGTTACAAAATGAAATCACTTTTAAATAATTATAATTGATTAATAAACAAGCTTTCTTTTAATTACCTGTAACGAGTTATTAAGGAATAACAGTAACCCAATCAAAATTGTTAAAACTTTCATATTGACAAAAGTGTTTTGGATCTTTTACAAAATCTTGTGGTTATAAACCTATAAACCACACGTATTTATACGTTTAAGAATAATGTTTATGGGCGCACCAAATAGATACACTACGTTATTGTTTTGAAATTCAGGCAGGGTACGGTATTGCGTAGGGTCCGCGTTCTAACCAAATTTGCAAATAAAAATATATTTTTGTATATACGGCGCAGTCAAATTTCAACGAAATTTTTTCGAAAAGGATTCATTCACCATATTCTTCTAGAAATTATTAGTTCATCTAAATGAAAATGTATGCATAATATTGACGTCGTCAGGACAGTGTCTCCTAAAAGCTTGGTTTTTTCGTATGAAGATAAATCTTTAAACGATAATTTTATTATTACTATTACTATTACTATTATTATTATTATTATTATTATTATTACATATGTATTACTAATTTTAGTTTGCAAAATTAGAAATTACACATCCAAACTCGATAAATCGGACATTTATTTATATTATAAAGTACTTTAAACAATTGATTGCTGGTCCGACTTATCGAGTTTAGATGTGTATATTAAACTATAAATAAAATACGAGTTTACTCGGTATTAAATGTAACCGAAACTGATATATCAACGTTACTTGGATTTCCGATAGTGAGACAATATCTAGCAGCTACTGTCACGGAAGTGAGAATGGTGGAAATTTGGTTACGGAATATTCCGGTAGTAAAGGCTGCGTCTGAAATTTTCCACAATGAAAATAATCGATGCCAGCAGTATCTAATATAGCGGCAAAAAGCCCGGCAAAGTATTTGGTTGTTGATGTATATGTGTCAGTTGTGGCTTTAACTGTACCAAAACCTTCTGTGGCAACATCTCCTACTTTATTAATCTCCGCTGAGAATGCTATGGAGGAAAAAAAAATGAAACAATCAAGTATAAAAGAAAATTAAGAATGAATAAATGAAATGTATGTGTTCGCTTACAAAATAGTTGTGGCAGTTTCAGCACCGTATATCTTCCAAGTAGCAAGATCTTTTGGTATCATTCTATTCCGGTAAGAGGATCCTTACTATTACGGACCAATCCACCATAGGTCTATTATTGTATATATAATCAAAATTTTGGGGTGGATATGAAATTCTGATTGGCTAATTTGAATTTCACATGTGAGTTGCAAATTCACGTATTGCCATTTAGAAACCACATTAACATTAACCATTAATGCAAAAGATTGTCATAAACCACATGATTTCCGCTATAACAAACATAATTCATAAGGTATGTTCTATATTAAAAGTCCATTATCCACAATAAAGAGATTTTATTAAGAAGTCCACTATAACAAACAAATTTTATTATAAAGAGAATTGGGGAAATAAAAAAAGTCCACTATAGGCAAAATCCACTATAACGAGATACACTATAACAAGCTTGACTGTACTTTTGTTATGTGGTATTTTGCGTAATTATTAAAAAACCTCGTCCAGATACTTTTTGGAGGGTAGCATATTCCTATAAATTATTTTTTTATTTGGATTTTAAAGGGTTGAGGAATTAACGTATTTACATGTTTTTAGAAAAGAATTCGTTCATTTAGGTAAGGATCACACAAAATGTAAATATCTATGAGAAATATTAAAAGTAAATTATGTTTAGCCAAACACTTAAAAGGCCGTTTGATTGCTAAATCATTTGTTTATCTTTGCTTTTTACCTATATAGTTAGTGATAAATAAAACTTCCATTCTTGGCTTAATGATATAACCTTTTATTAATTGCAAATAATGTATGCATTGTAATTGTAATCTCTATTCACTCTGTATTTATTAAATTGTTCAATTAAATTAACTTTGTTATTGATTAACTTGATAATACTACTACTATAATTATTAGATACAGGATTCTCAACTTTTAGGAAAACAAACATTAACATCAGAAAATAATTATTGGTGTGCATATTTTTAATTTTCTTATACTTATTAAATAATATAAGATTATTTTTATATTAAGCTATATTAGCCAAATAATCTTTAACTTCTGAAGGAGACAATTTTCTAAATAATGGTTGTTCCTTGCCTTCCATAAATCCTGTTGTATCACCACCAATAATTCCAATTTCAATAGAATTTTCAGTCATTTGTCCTTCAAATCCTTCTTTTAATGTTAAAATTGAAGTATGAACTGCATCTTCCAATCCAATATCATCATTATATCTAATACAAATATTATATATAAATATTATATGCAATAAATATATGTTTATAATTCATAAAAACCATTTAATACCGTTTTTCCAAGAAAGTTTTTGCATTAACCATATTTTTTCCAATAGCAGATGCTTTCCATGCCCAGTATGATCCTGAAGGATCTACTTGATATAATGCTGGACCAGTTTCATCATAACCCACAATAAGAAGAGATACACCAAATGGACGTACACCACTTTAAATATATTTTCATATTAATATAAACATAAATACAATTTATTACAAAATAATAATATTTAAAATCTTTAAATTTTTTTTTACATACCCACTTTGAGTAAATTCTTGCATTACACTAGCAACTTCTTTAACCAATATTCCTGTTGGTGGATACTCATTATATATCCTTTTATATTTTTGAGCTGCCTTTCTTGCCTTTGTCAATAGTACTCTAAAGTCTGGTCCCATTCCAGAATAAACTATACCAATATTTGGACAAACATTTGCAACTTTTTCAAGTGATGAATCATCAATCAATGGTGAAGCTGTCTTTTTCTCAGTAGCAACAACAACACCATTTGTAGCTAATATTATTTATTATGCATAGTATATTTAGTAAATTTCTTTAATAAGGTAAAAAGATTATTTTGCTCAAAAAAGGAAAGCCATATTTTTACACACCTTTAATACCAATGCTTGTTACACCTTGAGCAACCGCATTCAATGCATACTCAATTTGAACAAGCTTGCCCGAAGGTGAAAAAGTTGTTAATGAAAAACTAGTTTAAATAATTTAAAAAATATTATATCATTTATAATTACAACAGATTAAAATAAATTTTAGAAATGATAAATCTTTTACCTATATCTATCCGACATTTTTAAAAAAAAAATTACAAAAGATATGAGATTTCCATTGTGTCACGAATTTTAAAATAATACTAATACATTAATGCTAATACGTAAGCTCTTCCCAACAAATATAAAATGAAGACACCGTAGAAACTCCAGTTACTCCATGACTATGAAATAAGGCCTTCACTTTTACTTTTACAACATTACCATCAATGAATTTGGACTTAAAAATTGAATCAGATTGCTCATGAAACTTGTTTTAAAAAAATTTTTTTGTAAAATCTTTAGGATAAAAAAAAACAAGTATGCAGAACAGCCAGAGAGTTAAATTGGAGTGTAGTAAAAATAATATAAATAAATAAATAATGAAAAAAAAAAATTCATCTTAAAAGAATTAGCTAGTAATTTCAATAATATGGATATGGAGGATATGAAAAGTATTGTAAATGATGATAGCAATGTTGTTGGTATCAATGTAAATAGTCAAAGCACCCTAGTCTTATCCTCAAAACAACGGTCTATTTGAGGTAGATATTGGGTATAATCATTAGAACCACTCAAATTAATTATACAAGAAAAAGGGGATAAATTGTTTATTGTTGCTTCTCCTTTTTCTGCCAAAAAATTATTATTAGAAAATTTTTTTTTACAGATTGCTTCCTTTGTTGTTTAGGACATTTTTTGTTCTTGTGCTTTTATTTGCATTTTTCTTCCACTTATAAAAAGTGTTAATATCCAATTAAACAAACACATAGATAGTAAGATAAAATCAATCCCAACCATTTTTACATGATTTCTAATCTTGCATATTAACAATGTTTTCTATAGTTACATAAACATTCTATTACCAGCATCAACACTTGATCCTTTTTTTCTAACAGTGGCTTTTGGAGGTTTTGGTTTATTTTATCTTGTACTTCAGGTATAGTAAGTAAATTTGTTGTAGCAAATGTTCTAATTGTAATTTTTGAAGCTCTAAAGGTTTTAAACTATGTATCAGAATATGCCACAGATCACACCAGAATTTTAATTAAAGAATTATGTGCAATCTTCCTCAAAACCAATTTCTTCAAATATAAGGAGATATAAGTCATTCTGGGACATGTGTGTGAGTTCACTCAAGAATTCACAAACTGGTATTGGTTATCACTACTAAATCATTGTGCCCAAGCCAACAGAATGACTAACTTTTGAGTCACCAGGTTATATTTGATTCAGCTAAACCAACACATGATGATTTAAATCATATTTCCCTTTTTACCAGATGGCATGTGATTTCATCTTCGACTTCATCTTCTAAAAGTAGGGATGTAATTTCTTCTTCTAAAAATTTCCACCCAGGAAACAGGCTTTACTCTAATGTGGAGGGCAAATAAACCATATTAAAATGTATTGGTATTACTCGTTTTACATATAATAAATATTTAGCAGCAGTTAATATCGATATAAAACAATATTTAAAGACACTGACCTTAAATACCTCTTATTGCAGCAATTATTGACCTATGATTCAAAATTGCAGCAAAAAAGAAGATTTTAATTAATATTAAAATCTAGATCTAAAACACAATTGTCAGATTGGGAAAAAGAAAGTGATCATTATTCATTCCTCAAAGATGTTGAATCAAGTGGGAAATAAAATACAACTATTGTTTCACATGAATCATCTTGGTATTTCTACTTAAACTAAAGCTGATGACCAAAGCCTTTAATTTTCGGTGGTTGAGGAGAGTAAGAGTGCTGGCATCATTTCTCTTGATCTAAAATGAAAGGGATTCTATTCACGGCAAAGCGAATAAGCATAAAAAATATATGCTTCATCAATGCATACTCCAGATCCACAAGAAATCTTGTCATTGAAAACTTGCAAAATGGTTATGTGAAAGCCACCATGTTGAATTTAATACACAAAAAATTATGGTTTTAGAAAAATCTGCAAGGTAAATGTTGACCTGTTCATATTTCCACCAACATTTGCTCCATAAATCCCACAAACTATCCTTGGTGCAATGTAGTCATCTACATTGAGGAATGCATTAATAAACTGTGTAGATGTTGTGGATGCATAAAAAAACCCCCCTAGCTCCTCAATGACCTTTAGATGCACATACAGCTTGCAAATCAACAATATTTAGAAGATCATGCATGGAATTAAAATTTAAAAATTCATATTTGGGACATACTGCAACAAAACCAGACAAAGTGAACATTGGTATTACCAAGGATTTCAAGGATCAAATTTTAGTATTTAGTCATTTGTAATATGATTATATAATTAACAGTTTATAATATCCCATTTGTTATCTTAAGTAACATAGAATTGCCCCTATATAAAAACTATTAATATGAAACTCATTTACATCAGATCTACTATGGAACCCAAGAATTATGGTACTATCAGGAGTATTTTGAAAAAGGAACAAGGTGAAAAAATTGTTCCTTACATTTTCAAAATAAATGATACTCAGACATTGGAAGCTTATCTAAGAAAAGAAAGGATTACTTATGAAATTTACCAAGAAAGAAAAATAATAAATGTTAGAAAAAGAAAACTGAATGAAAGTGTGTTATTACAAACAAAAGACTGAAATCTCTGGGCAAAAAAAAACCTAATTCAAAATTACTATCCAATTTTATTTTTATTTTTTCAATAAAGCTTTTAAAATTAATACCAATTATAATGTTTCATTCTACTTAAAGATGGCTCTGCAACTAGGGAGGTTGCAACCATTGTATAAAAATCATGACCAAAAAAGAATGTTTTAATTATAAAAATACCAAAGAAGGTTTAACTATTAATTGATGAGATGAAGAAAATAAAGAAATCATTAAATTCTGCTGTTGGGAATGCTCTGAAAATTTGATACAACAAGAATTAGATGAAAAAACTGCTGACTGAGAAAGAAATAAAAAAATTATCTTTAGAGAAACCTTAAAAAAGGTTAAAAATAAAGAAAATTTTGATTGACCTTTTAGGAGAAGAATTATTATTCAAAAGGTGGTGGGAGGGAGTTGAGATAGGATTACTATATGGTGTCCTCAATGTAAATCATGTTGGATTGAGATGTCACTGCTTATGAAGACAGCCGAGGACATAAATGTCATAATTGTCATAAACAGATTGAAAGAACACATGAAAAGGACAGGGTACAAGTGAAATTTGCAGATCCCTGACCCCGTCCTTTTCTAACGTCCCTAAATAATCAGTATGTATTTTGTCAATCAAAATAATATAATTTTTTTTCTTTATAAAAAAAATTTAAAAATGTCTGAGACACATAAAAGAAGAGGAAAGAATTTGTTGTTCCAAATATCAGAAATGAGTAAGTGTTTATCATAAGAATGGTGGTTATCACCACATGTCATCACACTAGTTATTTTTAAAAGAATAGATTCTAGCTAGTAATTAAAATTTGGCTGACTTGACTACTGTGAGATTGTAAACCATGGACCAACCAATTGCCCGTTAATATTGACCATTGAAACAGGCTTAGAATGGTAGTCATATGATGCATTAAATATTACATCATGATCAACAATCATCTTTCTATATATATTTATTATAATGGTTGCCCACATGTCGTGTACTGTTATACTGTAGATCTTCATATTTATAATTTCTAATTATGTATTATTGTATTACTCATTTGACCTAAATATTTACTTAGAGATAGTAAGCCACTTTGCTTGGCGAGTTATACAAGATAGATAGTTATAATAAATAGATTTTATTTGACAAAATATTGTAAAAGCCATGTTATTTGTAATATCTCAAGAGGTATAAAAAGGCTTGGTTTTAGACCAAGTGAGAATCTGATGTTGACAATATTGATAATAACATTCATAATAACCTATAACAATTGAATAATTACCCCCCCCCCTGTTGTTAATAATTAAATAAACACATTTTACCTTATTATGAATTTTTGCATAGTTAACAGGAAAAGCCATTGTGAATTGTTCCATGGTCCTCTCTGATGATTAGTGGTCTAGTCACTAATCATTAGTTAGGAAACCCCCCCTGTTTGATTGTTCTATGTTTGCTTGTAGGGATGCCTCAAGTGGTATAGTTGTAAATATTTCTTGTATATTCTTTTTTTTTTTTTATTATCTTAGGATTGTGCCAGCAGTACTTAGCATTAGTACTGTAGAGAGAGAGAATTGCGCAATAGAGTATTTTGAGTAGTGTGCGAATACAGAGGCCTGGTATTGAGTATTGAGAACCCTAAGCCGTGTGTGGATACAGGGAGATTTATATATTGAACTTTCATATTTTATCTTATATATTTATTCGAGCTGTATTTGAAATTGCATGCTCACAGTACATAGTGCAATTCAATTTTCATATGCCACAACTGCAACCACAATTCAATTTTATATTCTGCAATTAATTGAGGAGCCATCTTTACCCCTAAAAGCACCTATGAGACACACATTATTAAAAGTTACATTTCTGCATGGCCTTGGTAACATTACTACTTGGGTGATGTTATATTAATGATAATATCTAATGTATTGAATAATCATAATAAACATTGTGATGGATGTGGGGCAAGGGTATTATTCATTTATAAAAAGATTAAATAGTAGTAAAAAGCTAAGTCATTTTGTTTTATTTTAAGTTATAGATTATAATTTATTATATTTAAAAATATACAATAAAAAAATAGCTGGAGAAATTGCATGGAATTCAAGACTGTACCAATTGCATCATTACATTTAATCAAGCTATTATTTGGATATATTAGTACATTGCTGTTATCTTATTGAAGGAGAGGAGTAAGGTTTATGTGCAATTTAAAATTCATTTGTGCTAATTAGAGTTACATCTTTCTTTATTTATATAATCTATTGATTCTCTTTTGTGGGTAACTGAGTTATTTATTCTTTTAATAATAATTATTTGTATCAATTTGTGACTTAGGTTCTAAAAATAATAAAAAAGTCGATTATTTTGAAAATAAAATTTCTCTATAAAATTAAATTTTCTAATTTATGGTTGCATAACAACTCTTTAACCTTCC